CCAATATAACTCCAATGAAGAGACTGATGGGTTTAAATATCTCATTCTTGTGAATGAAGAATGATATATTACCACCTCAAAAGATAATTAAGGGAGAACAATTGCACTCCGGATTGCAAGATGAAGAAAACTTGAGCTCCTCTTAAAAGAATCTTGATGAGTACTTCGAGAAGGAATTAAATCCTTGGTGAACCATCATGTAGAGCCTCCATGAAGAACTCCGGTAATAAAAGAATGATCAAAAGAAGTGAAGGATGAAGAGAATAAGATCGAACCCTTGCAATGGTTAGATGAAGCTTCGCGATGAGATAAAGCGGAAAACCTGGAACTCCGGAAAAGAAAGATGACCAAATGAAATCAAGAATTTTGATGAACCTCCGGGATAAGGAATTGAATTTACTTGATGAAACAAGAATAAGAATTACATTATGCTTACCCTTCACCAATTTAAATTGATGACAAGCAACAGATTTGGCATACTACTTATTCTCGCAGAAAGGATTAAGAGAGATATAGCACAAACTTGAGAAGGTCTTCAACGAACCACCGGTAGGATTTGGAAACAACAAAAGAATTGATATGAAAATGAAGGAAGAAGAATCTTGAATAGCCACCTTAAGAATTGAAAATGAAAGTGGCAAAGGCACAAATCACCGGAAAGAATTGGAAAACGAATGACGATACTTGAGGGGATTTAGATACAAGTGAAGGAAGAGATCGTGAACTGATTAGATAATACTTGAATGATGCACCGGTAAGATTTAGAGAACGAGAGCTGACTGAGAATGAATAAACCTGAGATGATGGGCTGTGGAGAATCGAACTGCAAAGACTCCTGAATTGCTCCAGAAGGATGAAAAGAATTCTCACAATTGAAAACAATTATGAGAGGATGGCAATAAGCTAGAACAATGAATATTCGAGAGAATGGACAAGATTGAAGAGAAACTCTTCTTCGGTCTTCAAATCCGAGAATGACGACGAGAAACACCACCATGAATTGTTGAGATACTCCGGGAGAATGAATATTAGAAAGGTTGAACCGACGATGAAAAGAATTTGAAAACGATATTGGAGAAGGCAATTGACTGATGAAAATTCATTCTTACGTCAAACTTTAAAAGATTCGAGAATAGCTCCGAGAAAATTTAGAAGAGTCAGGTAAGATCCTGGGAAAATACCTGTGGGTTAGGGCCCACTCAAAAGATACACCGTTGAATGATTACTTGAAAGGGAAATTGCACTGGTAAGAATTAAATGGCTTGAATGGGGTAACAACCTCGAAATAGGTTGAACGGAACTTGAATGACAAGACGAGCCTTCTGAGATATCTTCAGCATTCCCGAACAAATGAATAGCAAGAAATGAACAATTAAGAGGTGCACCGACATGAGAAAGCATTTGGAACGAGGAAAAAGATATGATCAACAAAGCTTGACTTGAATCCACCGGAGAAGAAAACGAGTGAAAAGTGGCGAACTTGAGGCTCCGTTAGTATCTTCCTAAGAATCACCGGATAAGAACATTGACGGAAAAGAATGGAGAGACTTCGTATCAATAAGATGGATACTTGATTAAGATATATGAGTCCTTGAAGAAACAATGGTGGGAGGGTGGGAAAACAAAGAAAATTTGGGGCGAATGAAACAAACACCGTTGAGAATACTTAGAGTTGGTCTTGCGGATGTTGAAAATGAACGGATCCACTTGAAGAGAGAACACGCCGGTTGAAAAAGAATTAACAAGACAAACTCGATGATCAAGAAGGATTAGTACTCCCATAGGAATATGAGAACACCACTTAGGAAAGGTATGGAATCAACATTTGACTTTGAAGCAACTCGAATACCACAACTCAAAACAAAAACAAGGGTTGGCTTGCAGAATAAGCCGGAACAAACATATGATAGAGATTCCGTCCGAAGTTTCCATGGTGGGGCCCACACGGGCTCAATCGTACAGCACCATCATGTACAAGGCAGTGCACATGACATACGAAGCGTCCCCGAGTCAGCATAGCCAAGGACTCTTTAAGACACAACGAGACCACTGTAAAACCAACCGTGGATGGGCGGACCACTAGACGTCGAACCCCAATTTCATGTCATGCATCTGTCGGAAAGATATCCTAAGAGCTACTTGAATTCCCACTTATAAACTCCCGAAACTTTCTGGTTATGCAATCAGGTGTTGGGGATACAGGGGAAGCATAATATCTCACCCAAAACTAGCAAATCCTACATCCAGCTGTATCTATCCTTCAACACATAACCAAGAAACCTTCAGAAATCATTTACCTCAACCTTCGAAAAGCATCCGTTATACGAGTTATGTCAATACTCCCGAACTCAAGCCCCAGTACTAGGTGGCGTCGAGGTTATCTCACCAAAAACTACATAAAAGAGATTCTCGATGTCGGCGAACTCAGGTATTCTAGAACTGCAATGATCAAATTGTGACGACAACACCTCGGAGCTCAACTCCCCGGGACACTGCCACAACCCCTAAATGTCAGGAGGCACCAACAACAATGTTCTCGTCACAAAACCATCGGAACGATTCCAAGATACCCGCGTGATCCTAAATTTTTTTAGTGAAATTTGAGGAGAGAAGAGTCAAAACTCTATGTCAGGAGGCCTCACCAGAGCGACAAAGGGACTAAGGAGTAAAAAGAATCCTACTCTCCGATATATATAATCCTATAAGACTCAAAACATTTTTCTAGACTCAACAACGCCAACGATTCGATCAAGCAGGGGGCTCCTAAGTCGGGGAAGGCTCTGATTACCAACTTGTAACACCCACGATGCGGCTATATCTCCCATGTGTCAGAGCACGACTCAGAGGCATAACCGCATTGTAGGCATGTTGCAAGAGGGGTAATCTTTACACATCCCATGTACAAAATAACAAAGGGATAAAGAGTTGGCTTACAATCGCCACTTCACACAATACATGAAGAGGACATCCTGATGAACATCTTGATATCTCATGCACGCAAAACGGAGCAACGGTGATGAAGTTATGATGCGATGAACATGGCATAAAATCATCGCAGAAAAATGACTTAGAGGAAAAATCAACCTCTAGAAGAAGTCAACGCGGGATGGGGATATCCTGGGACGGGGTGGATCCGGTTCGCGAGACGGTGGCGTTTGGTTCGGATCCGGGTGGATCTCATCCACCCGGGGTGGATCTGGCCGGGACGGGCTCCGGCGAGGAATTCCGGTGAGGGGTGGCCGGCGCAGCTGGCCGGAGTTGCCGGGGACGGCGCGGGACGGGCGGAGGAGGCCGGCAACGGGCGGCGCACGTCGCGGCGGCGCATGGCGGTGACGTTCTACACGGGCGCGCGGGCGGCGATGGAGGCGAAGCTCCGACGAGGCGCGGTCGCCGGCGGGCGGCTCGGGGCGCCGGCGGAGAGAGGCGGCGGCGAGGCGCGCGGAGAGACGGGCTCGGCACGGCCGGGTTTGGCCCCGGGGCGGGCCGGATCTGGGCCCCCGGTGGCCGGCGCGGTGGGAGGAGAGAGAGGATGACGTGGCGGCGGCAAATTCGTCGGGGACGGCGGCGCGAGAGGAGCGGGGCTAGGGTTTCATCCGCGAAAAATTCGGAGAGGCACAAATATATATAGGTAGAGGGAGCTAGGAGAGTCCAAATGAGGAGCGGTTTTCGACCACGCGATCGTGATCGAACGACCGAGAGGATGGAGGGGGTTTGGAAGGGTTATGGGCCACTTTGGAGGGGTGTTGGGCTGCAACACTGGAGGCCTTTATGGTTCCCCGGTTAACCGTTGGAGTATCAAACGGACTCCAAATGGCACGAAACTTGACAGGCGGTCTACCGGTAGTGAACCAAGACTGCTTGGCAAATATCGGTCCAATCCGAGAATATTCAACTACCGCACACGAAAAGAGGCAAAAGGAGGCGCCAGATGACATAGTAGTGTCGGATTGAGAAACAGACAACGAGGAAAATGCTCGGATGCATGAGACGAACAAGTATGCAAACGAGATGCACATGATGACATGATATGAGATGCATGACACGCAAACAAATGACAAGGCAACAACCGTGAATAACTGAAAGACACCTGGCACATCGGTGTCGGGGCGTTACACCACCAACACGAGACCTAGAGGTAGGACGAGAAGACACTGGGCTCGGTGGCAACCGCAACGCAGCCGACAGGAAGGAACAACTTCCATCGCCGCGCGGAGCCGACCGGACATAGCAACAGGGACCTACCAGGCCACCACCGGCCCGGCCGGACCCCAACGGGCCCGGACAGTCCCTGCAACCACGCTGCAGCACGCCGGCCGCCGGAGCCATCACCACCGCAGCCACGGCCGCCTCACCTCACCACTAGGGAGCTACGTCGTCACGCCCCGGACCGCTAGCCCGCCCCAGCCCAGATGGGGCCCAAAAGGGCCCAGATCTGGGCCAAGCGGGCGCCGCCGGCCAGCCCCCAACCGCGCCGCCCCGCAGCCAACGGCCATGCCGCCGCTTCGAGGGCACCCGAGGCCCGGAGAACTCCGCCACCGAGCCCCACCGTCGCCGGGCAAGAGGGAGCCCCGACTCCCCC